ACCCACACCAGGACAAGGGGCCCGAACGACTCACACCACGAAAGGCCCGAACGACTCACACCACAAGGAGGGCCCCGAACGACTCACACCAGGACGAGGCGCCCGAACGACTCACACCACGAGGAGCCCGAACGACTCACACCACGACGCGGGCCCCGAACGACTCACACCACGAGGAGCCCGAACGAGTCACACCAGGAGGAGGGGCCCGAACGACTCACACCAGGATGAGGGGCCCGAACAACTCACACCACGAGAAGCCCGAACGACTCACACCAGGACGAAGAGCCCGAACGACTCACACCACGAAGAGCCCGAACGACTCACACCAGGAAGAAGGGCCCGAACGACTCACACCAGGACGAGAAACCCCAAACGACTCAAATCACGAGGAGCGCTTTCTCTCCCTCCTCCTCCGCCTCGTCCTTCTCCCGCTCCCCCCACAAGGAGGATGTACAAGGAGGCGGGAGGAAGGAGGAACAGGGGAGATATGCGGGCCCAAGCGGACGCACGCCTGAAAAACACGACTGTCGGCATGCTTCGCAAGAGTTGTTGCTGTGAGATGGGCTGGTGGGGATACGCGAAGCGTAAAGAATTCCTACGTCGCGAAAAATCACGACCAGGACCCTAGACACAATCTTTCTGCTGCATCTTTCGATAGTTAATAATATGTGATGACCCCGAAGCCCGAAACGAGGCAAAAACGCCCAGTGTGAAAAAGCTGCAACGCCAGGATCGATCGGTGACGGTGCAAGATCATGGGCGAAAACGCCTGGTGTAATAAAAATGCAGCGCTCAAATCTCGGGGGATGGGGCCCTGAGGGAGGTGGGACGGACTCATATCCCAGAACGGCCGGCGTCCCGCCGACAGGCATCCCAAATACCCCTTCTTCTGCATCACCTGTCCGGCTCGAAGGGCGCGGCGGCGACAGCAGCGGCTACGGCGCCAACCACGACGAGTCTAGCAACGGCGAGCCCAGGAAGTGGGGGAGAAGGAGGAGGAGGAGGCGGAGGAGGAGGAGGAGGAGGAGGAGGAAAAGCAGGAGGAGGAGGAGGAGGAGGAGGACGAGGAGGAGGAGGAGGAGGAGGAGGAGGAGGAGGGGAAGGAGGGGGAAAAGGGGGAGGAGGCGGAGGAGGAGGGGGAGGAGGAGGAGGGGGAGGAGGGGGAAGGACGAGGGACGAGGCCTGGCGCAACCGTCCGTCGAAACGAACAGCTGGCGGGACGGCCGACGCGGCCGCGTCCTCAGGTGGGGACGAAGAAGGCGCCCACCACCACCTCCAGCACGGGCCCGCCCCCAGGAGGGGCCAGACGGGCCATCAGCGTAGCAGATGGCGGCGCTCCCGCTCTCCCAACGGGGAGCCACGCGGGCAATAGGGAAGCCGATGCCCACCTGGAGGACGTAGGGCATGGCGGACATCAAATGGGCGTCACCGAGCGGGTACCTGACGGCGACGGCATCCACACAAGCCACGCTCTGGACCCGCCCCCGAAAGGAGCCAGACTGGCCAATAGCGTAGCCGTCGGCGACGCTCCCGCTCTCCCTTAGGGTGCAGCGGGCAATATGCAGAGGCTGCCGATCCACACAAGGATGCGGAGGACGCAGCAGCCAAAAACAGAACCGACGATCAAACACTGTCGGCACGATCATATGGATGACGTCCGTAGCATCACGTAGCCACAGACGCCTCAGAGAGCATCCTGCGGCCCGCCCCCAAAATGGGCCAAACGGGCCATCACGATAGCACCACCATACAGCGGGGCCCGCCCCCAAGAAGGGTCAGACGGGTCATCAACTTAAACGCCCCCTTGATAGTAACCACGATCCCGCCACACAGCACCAGAAAGAGTCGCAACCACCAAGACACCGTCCGAACGAAAGAAGTGACCGCAATCCAGCCGCTTATGTACCGAATACGGTAGCAGCCACCAACTGAAAGTAACAGGGGCGGACAGCCCTCGAGCAACTGCAGAACGTAACTGATGTCCGAGGTCCGTTCCCAACAGAAGGCAAGCGCACCTGTCACCAACAGATGGCCAGAACACCCTCACGGGTCGCTCCCACTGGGAACCGGAGGCACGAGAGGCAAGCGCACCTGTCACCAACAAGTGGCCAGAACACCCTCACGGGTCGCTCTCGTGCGACCTGGCCTTCGGGGGGGCAAGCGCAGCCGTCACCAACGGCTGGCCAAAACACCCTCACGGGTCGCCCCCATTAGGCCATTGGGCATGCTTCCTGAACTTCGGAGAGGCAAGCGCAGTCGTCACCAACGACTGGCCAGACCACCCTCGCGGGTCGCTCTCCTTAGGCCAGTGGGAATATACACATGGAAAGCGCCCCTGAAGCCGCCGACGAAGAAGCTTTTGCAGACCCACCTTGGGCAACAGCGGGCACGGTGAGCTTGACGTTGTCTTTACGGCGCAGGCCTTTTCAACAAACGCCGCCTTCTCGAGTCAATATTCGATAGGAACGTCTTACCTTTTCCTTCGCCACTCGGGATCCCGCAGCACTCAGCCAACAACTGCTTGGATACACCTCCAGCCGACCACGCAACACAGACTTCGCAGAAAACCGTAGGCCCTGCACGGCGGAGACGATGCCCATTACATTGAATGACTACAGCTTCAGCACACTCAGAGACTATCTTTTCGCCGACGTCGCCAGGGTCCTCGGGAGTAGCAGCCGCATCCAGCGCCTCCACCACGAACGTGCACCGCCAAACTCCACCATAGCCTCAGCACGTAAAGCCTCAAGGCGGGACGGCTGACACGGCGTTCTGATAAATACGTTTTAAGCCGCCTTTGAATTGCCTGTCGCACGTCTGGCACACTGTCTGCACACGAACGGGTCATCCGATAACTTCGCAAAGACGTACGAGGTCACCTGCACGGGCAGTATGCGTGCCCCCACTGGCTTGGGCACCACGTCTGGGAACTCGGGCTCCCACTTGCCAACACGCATCGTACGCTGCATCACCCAACGAATGTAGGCCGCAGCACGCCTGGCGAAATCCCACCAGCCCTCTGGGCGTAGGTGGTTTAGGGAGTTTCCTCTTCCATCTTCCCTTCTTCCCCTTCGGGGAGGGGTTTACCCCTCCCCCTAATCCCCTCCCATGGACCTGGACGGGCCCGGTCGCGAGCGGTCAGAGTGTCCAAGATGGCCCAGGATTGCTCTATGAGCGCCTCGGATAGTCCAAGATGACTTCCAAGATGGCTCAAGATAGCTTAAGATGCCGCAAGATGGCCCCGAAGATGCTCCAAGACGCCCTCAGAACGCTCCAAGACAGCTCCAAGAGGCCAATTATCTCCCCAAGGAGGCCCCCCAAGAAGCCAAAATCCTTTTAAAAACCAACAACAACAACAACAACAACAACAACAACAACAACAACAACAACAACAACAACAACAACAACAACAACAACAACAACAACAACAACAACAACAACAACAACAACAAAAATTAAGGAAAACCAGTGATTTTCGGCGTCTCGCCTTTTCGCTTCCGATGGCCATCTGAGGCCTCAACATGGCTCCAAGAGGGGCCAAGGAGGCCCCAAGAGGGGCCCAAGAGGGCCCCAAGACGGCCCCAAGAGCGCCCAAGAGCGCTCCAAGAGCGCCCCAAGAGGGGTCCAGGCGGCTATTTTGGGAGCTCGATCGATCGTTTCCAAGATGGCCCCAAAGGGCGCCCAGGAGGCCCCCAAAGGCGCCAAGATGGCCCCAAGAGGCCTCCAAGAGGCCCCCAAGAGGGCCCCAAGTGGCCCCAAGAGGCCCCCCCACCCCGGACGCAATCAAGACGCCCAAGAGCCCCCCAGGATCGCCAAGAGACCCCCCAGACGTCCCAAGATGCCCTCAAGAAGCGCCCAAGAGATATCCCAAGAGGCTCCGAAAAGGCATTCAAGAGACCGCTGGCAGTTTTGCTCGCCCTCCTCCTCCTCCTCCCCAAGATGCCCCACAGACGCACCAAGAGGCCTCCAAAACAACTCCCAACAGACATCCTACGAGGCTCTATGCTCGTCATGTTTCTTGTTCCTCATCCTTCTCCTCGTCCTCCTCCTCCCGCTCCTAAGGCTCCCAAGAGCGCCCTCGACATCGCGTTCCCTCCTTCTCCATCTGGCCTCCTCTTCCGCCTCATCCTTTGCACGGATCGGCTGTCCCTCTCGTTGCTCCCCCACTTCCCTGATCTCTTCAACTTGCCTGGACATCGTTTCTGGATGGGCTGGTGGGGATGCTTTTTTGTTCGGCGGCCCGCAAGGAAAAAGTCCAGAGGGCGTGTCCAACACAGGCAATGGGGCGCAATGCCAGATACTGGTGGGGGTACGCGAGGCGTCAAGAATTCATCTCGAGCTTGTAATATTCCTCGTAGACCTTCGGCGCCACATGTGCGTCAGCACCTCGTCGAGCAAACCAATCAGCCCACATATTGCCCAGGTAGAGCAGCGGGCTGAGGCCTTTGTCAAGGTAATCGTCCACGTCCTTGTGCGCAGGGATCCAGATCACATTCGGTCTGACTGGCTGCGATCTGAGACTGCGCCAAATCGTAGCATGGACCGCCGAGGCAGACTCCAGCTCAGGGCCCCAAGAATTCGCCTCCACCTCCAGCGCTAGCAAGTCTGTGAACACGTGTTGCAGGTTGGGCCCAAAGAGCTTGGTCGCCATCAGGAGCGCATACCTCTCGGATCTTCCAACCGTCTGCAGCGGCCCAGGTAACGGGCCAAAAGCTGCTCTGATCGGAATGCCCAGCCTCGCAAACTGCACCACGGCCCAGTCACACCTCCTGAGTTCAGGAATGGAGGAGGCTAGGCCTGAGCCGTCCGTGAGGAGGAGGAGGAGGAGGAGGAGGAGGAGGAGGAGGGGGAGGAGGGGGAGGAGGAGGAGGAGGAGGAGGAGGAGGAGGAGGAGGAGGAGGAGGAGGGAGGAGGAGGAGGGGGAGGCGCCGACCGACTGGCGCCGATTGACGGCGAGCCCAGGAGGGAGGCAGAGAGGGCGGGGCGTCTCAGAAGGCCTACAAGGCCTCTCCAGCCTTCTGAGAAGTTTTCTGGGCCTTCTCCGAAGAGACAGAGCGAGGACGGCTTCTCAGAAGGAGCGAGGACATACAAAAATCCACGCCGCCTTCTGAAAAGGCCTGCCCCCACTGACTTCCGCCCTGAGCGGGCCGGCGAAAAGCGGCAGCCGTGGCGAAAGCGCGCAGGACGGAAGCGACAACGACCACCGCCACCGCCACGACCACGGCCGCGGCAGCGAAGGCGACGGCGACGCCGTCAGCGGCAAAAGCACGCCCTGGCCGAGGAGAAAACATAATGGTAAACACTGACACGACAACCCGCCATTCTGGAGCTGCTGCTCCATACATCTCTTGTCGCGGATTCGGGAAGCGAACAAGTCGGTAGGGCCTGGCTGGGCTGCGGAAAGAAAAGAAGTGGCACCGCGCCAGGAGGGGCGGAGGGAATGCGGCCGCGGAGAAAGACGATTGCGGCGGCGGCACTCAAGGCAGGAGTAACTCGCAAAAAGCGCGGGTGCTGCCGTCCACGCTCCTCATGCAGGGCTGCTCCGTCTGCTACACGCTGGCATCAGGAAACGAAGGGGCACGCCAATGGTTCTGGGGGTTTTCCAGGAGGGTCATAAAAGCTGGTCGTGAGGCCGAGAGAACAAACACATCTTTTCAGGCCCTGTGCTGAAATCCAATCAGCCCTCTGTGCGTGCGTAGGTGGTTTGCAGATCAGCTCGTCCAAAAGAACTCCTGCTTCTACTTCGGGAGAGGCTTGCCCATCCTCTGACACACTCCCGTGGGGTCTGGAAACGGGCAGCGAGCGGTCAGAGCGTCCAAGATGGATGGCCTTGATAATTCCAAAATTGCCCCGGATAGCCCAAGATGGCCTCCGAGATAGCGCAATGTTGCCAATTTATATTGGTTGGCCTAGCGTGCCTCCATCATGACTCCAAGACGCCTCAAAAAGCAGTAAGATGACTCTGCGGTGGCGCCCAAGCCTCCCACGCAGACTTCCAAGGATCCGGATCCAGAGCAACACGCTGTAGCCTTTGATTGCAGGGAGGAGGGTTAACAGCTGGCTGTTGCCTGTGAGAGGTCCGACCCAACGTGCAAGAAAGCCAGCGAAACCTGCCCCCTTAGATATGGTTTGTTGTTTTGGGAGGCCTGGAAATGGGCACCAACACCAACACAGGGGGCTGCCTCCACAAGGGGGAAGATGATCCTAGATTTCGGTGTTGGTGGTAATGTTCCGGCCGCCTGGGAAGCCAGAATATTACCACCATCGCCGAGATCGGGATCGTCTTCCCTCGGTGGAGGCACACCGCCGATCTTGGTGTTGGTGTCAACCTCTAGGCCTGCGAAACAACATCAACAATCAAACCAGGCGGCGGCGCACCAGAATCGCTCGGGAGATGGCGTGCCGCGCCGCGCCGTGTCTCCACCCGCCTCCACTAGATAGGCGCGTTCCACTACTCGCATCTCCACCCGCCTCCACTAGACAGGCGCGTTCCAGTACTCGCAAAGCGACCCGCAAATGGCCTGGATCCCCCGCGGGGGATCTGCGACAAATTACATAAAAGCAGACATGTGCTTTTCGGACGTTTGCGAGTAGGCACTCTGCGAGTAGTGGAGCGCGCTCGGCGATCCACGGAATGCGGCGCCGCGCACAGCGCCAGATGCCTCGTGCGCAGCCCAGCAAAAGGATCGGCGGATGTGGCACAAGCCTATACAGCACACGTCCGGAAGGAACGTTTTGCCGGAGGCAGGTCCGCGGATGCTGCAATGCGAAGCATCAAGCATACCAAATCATTGCATGATGCTACAGATTGCATGCGATTCCGCTATAGCGCCTCCCCCCCATTACCCCCCCTGGAGTCGCGCCAAAGCCGTCGACCACTCCCAACCACTCCCAACCAGCCCACAGGAGGCTCGCCGCTCATGAGGAGGGCCGGGGCCACTCACTTCTCGGACGGCGCGGGCGGCTCGGAGAAGTGCGCGTGCACGCGGCCCGCGTACGACGCGGCCGCAACGTAGCTGTCGGAGGTGTGCCGGAGCTGGTCGGAGACGTGCTTTATCTCCTCCGTCAGGCCGTCCAACCGGTCCTGGACGTTTTTCCTCTCCTCCTCCACGTCTGCCATCTCCCGAAGATTCTGCTTCTGCTGCTCGGCAATGCGCGCCTGCCTCTTGTGGGCCTCCGCAAGCCTGTCCTCGGCCTCCTTTCGCTCGGCCTCGATCGTCTGCGTCCTGGCCTTGATGCGGTCGTACATGTCCTTCATCGTGACGCCGGAGTGGGCCGCGTCGCCAGGCGGCATCTCCATGCCCGCCGGCTCCCGGACCATCGCCGGCCCGGCGGACGCCGTCAGTCGTCCCGCCTCGTGGCGCCTCGCGGCGGCGCCCACGCCCGTCGCCGCCGCGGGGGCGCCGAGAAGCGCCGCGACCGCAGCGGCGGCGAGCCTGGCGCCGAAGGCTGGCATCGCTGCGCGGGGGGGTGGCCTGCGGGCAGCACCGCGACCCACGGCGTCGAGGGGGGGATTTCTTTGTGGGGAACGAGACGCACCGGGCTCCGAGCCGGAGGTGCGGCTTGAGCCTAACTGGCTACGGATTTTGGCATTTGGGAACTCTGGGGGGGGGCCACGCGGCCCAAGACGGCCCCTGGAGGGCCCCAGAGGCCCCCAAGACGCTCCAAGGAAGCCCCCAAGAGATGCTCCAGAGACCAAAAACATAGTTCCCCATGGGTTTTGCAACGTTCTCGCCTTTTTTGACTCTCGGGGGCCCATGACGACCCAAGCAGCCTCCAAGATGGCCCCAAGACGGCCCCAGAGGCCCCCAAGAGGGCCGCAAGATGGCCCTAGAGGGCCCCAAGACGTCCCGAAGAGGCCCCCAAGACGGCTCAAGAGGCCCCCACCAAAACGCCCCAAGAGAACCCCGAGAGAGCCACAAGGCAATCCCGAGAGGCCCCCAAAACGGTCTCCAAGACGGCCCCCGAGGCCCCTGAGAGGCTCCAAGAGGCCTCAAAGAAGCCCCCAAAAAGCCTTCAAGAAGCCGCCAATAGGCCCCCAACAAAAAGTCCCCAAACGGTCTCACGAAAGCACCAAGACACCCACGGAATTGTAATTATACACATGGCACATTGTTGCTATGCTCATCGGAATTTGAACTTGGCGTTGCCTTGTGCTGACACGCGGTGAATGCCCGTTGCCCTCGTGGACATTCGCACGCTCGTCCCGGCGCTGAAACGGAGGGGGGGGAGCATCCGCCCCCGGTGGCACAGGAAGCGCCCCGAGGCGGGCAGAACGACACGACAGACGAGCACGGCAAACCACCCAACGCCCAGCCTTTACGTGCTCTGAACGTGCACCCCGCGAAGCGAGAGAAATCGCTTGAGCGACGAAAAGAAACGGGTCTTGCGCGAGATAACATAGTGACCTTACGCGGTGGCTAACGCCCGCAAGCGTGGTACGCTGCACTGGAAACGGGGGCGCTCACGCGCGACCTTACGCCAGCAGCTTACGCGCGATTGTCGGCGCAGTCGAGCTCGTTATGTTGCGTCGCTCATTTGTGACTTGGCACGTGCAGATTAGCAGTGACATAATTGATTATTTTCTTCCCTGCTGCATACCATCAAGCACGCGCGAACAGGCGGCCTGGAGGTCCTCTCCTCCTCACCCTCCTCCTCCCAGATCGCCGCGTCCAGGACGGCAGTGTTGCCCAAGGTGATCGGGGCACATAAGTTGTCTCCAGTTGCCCCCTGTACCACCCCATCTTCATCGGCGTCGGCTTCAGATCGGCAATGACATGCTTGTGGAGAGCACGCCGCGCGGCTGCGAGGGAGAAGCCCTCTAGTCTGTCCGAGCCCGCACGCTGACGCGAGACGCTCCTGGCGCAATGACGATACACCCAATACTGAGGGGGCCCAGGCACACACACACACAAATAAATAACTTTCGTCGTCCCCTCCACTTCCCATCTTCTCACATATTTTCATGGGACATGGGAATCAACGTTTGCTTGTGTCTGGGACTATTCTTCCCTCCTGAAATGTGCGGGGTATGATTGTGGGCTTGCGCCAGCCTGCTCGCCCACCCGTACGACACCACTCCTAGCGCCACACGTAGGGCACCACCCACGAGGCGCCGGGGCAAGACCCAGAGAAAGAAGAAGAAACACATCTTTTCAGGCCCTGTGCTGAAATCCAATCAGCCCTCTGTGCGTGCGTAGGTGGTTTGCAGATCAGCTCGTCCAAAAGAACTCCTGCTTCTACTTCGGGAGAGGCTTGCCCATCCTCTGACACACTCCCGTGGGGTCTGGAAACGGGCAGCGAGCGGTCAGAGCGTCCAAGATGGATGGCCTTGATAATTCCAAAATTGCCCCGGATAGCCCAAGATGGCCTCCGAGATAGCGCAATGTTGCCAATTTATATTGGTTGGCCTAGCGTGCCTCCATCATGACTCCAAGACGCCTCAAAAAGCAGTAAGATGACTCTGCGGTGGCGCCCAAGCCTCCCACGCAGACTTCCAAGGATCCGGATCCAGAGCAACACGCTGTAGCCTTTGATTGCAGGGAGGAGGGTTAACAGCTGGCTGTTGCCTGTGAGAGGTCCGACCCAACGTGCAAGAAAGCCAGCGAAACCTGCCCCCTTAGATATGGTTTGTTGTTTTGGGAGGCCTGGAAATGGGCACCAACACCAACACAGGGGGCTGCCTCCACAAGGGGGAAGATGATCCTAGATTTCGGTGTTGGTGGTAATGTTCCGGCCGCCTGGGAAGCCAGAATATTACCACCATCGCCGAGATCGGGACCGTCTTCCCTCGGTGGAGGCACACCGCCGATCTTGGTGTTGGTGTCAACCTCTAGGCCTGCGAAACAACATCAACAATCAAACCAGGCGGCGGCGCACCAGAATCGCTCGGGAGATGGCGTGCCGCGCCGCGCCGTGTCTCCACCCGCCTCCACTAGATAGGCGCGTTCCACTACTCGCATCTCCACCCGCCTCCACTAGACAGGCGCGTTCCAGTACTCGCAAAGCGACCCGCAAATGGCCTGGATCCCCCGCGGGGGATCTGCGACAAATTACATAAAAGCAGACATGTGCTTTTCGGACGTTTGCGAGTAGGCACTCTGCGAGTAGTGGAGCGCGCTCGGCGATCCACGGAATGCGGCGCCGCGCACAGCGCCAGATGCCTCGTGCGCAGCCCAGCAAAAGGATCGGCGGATGTGGCACAAGCCTATACAGCACACGTCCGGAAGGAACGTTTTGCCGGAGGCAGGTCCGCGGATGCTGCAATGCGAAGCATCAAGCATACCAAATCATTGCATGATGCTACAGATTGCATGCGATTCCGCTATAGCGCCTCCCCCCCATT